ATGTGTACTGATTTTTTAATAAGATATTAGTATAAGTGTACCAATATTAACTTTTAAAATATAATTTTTACTTTTTTTCTGTTGTGAATGAAGTCCTAAATATTTTTATATTAATGAATGGACAAAGATAATTTTTATCTTAATTACTTACACTGCATCTGAAGATAAACTAATGTGAGAAAGTGGGATGATTTTATCTTAAGAAAACTTCATTAATTTTTTTATTTAAAGGTTGTGAGAATGTTTTTAAAAATTAAACAGATGTAGACAACAGAAAAGATTTAGAATCACTGGTTTAAGTAATATAAATATTTTTAGAATACAGTAGATTCTCACTAATCAGGCCATTCCTTACATAGAAGGGAGTCGGATTAGCAAGATTATCGGATCACTGAGAGTGTATAGTGAATGATGTGACAGTTATCCTTCAATACTGATTCTTTTTGGAGGCAGGTGAGCAAAATAATATGGTGTGCTAAAGTGTAGTAATGTATACATAAATGAAACCCAGGAAAACAGGATATGCAACATGACTAACATTTTCACGTAAAGGAAGGGCATTGACATTCTCACTAGAAGATATGCTGGATAATTGAGAGGTTGTAGGTTGGTCTCTCAGTTAGCTTGTACAGTGGGTGATCAGTTAACGAACGTAATCAGTTCCAAGACTTTGTTCGCTATCCGAATTGTTTGTTATCCAATTATCGATTTACCATAGGTTTTTATGGGAATTTAATTAATTCATTCTGGAGATCCCCAAAAATAAAAAATATATACTTTCTTGCTACGTTTATTTATATGCAATAATAAAAATACAGTACATACATACACAGTCTTGCATTTTTATTAGTCATGTTTTTTATGTTTGTGGGGGTTAAAGAATCTGTCTAATGTTGATTGCTTTTCTCTCTTATTCAGGATTTTTTGTAATTTATAGCATTGCAATTATAGAAATCCCCAAGCCTCAATCTGGTTTGGATGTCATTCTAAGACCGTTGTTCTGACATCCTCCCACTTCTTCAAAGGATCTTTAATAACAGACATCAGCATTAAACCTCTTTTTTAGAAGAAAATGTATCTCATCGAGTTTCTTGGTGTTCTTCATTCAAGAATTCTTGGCGTTCTTTTGTTGTCAGATCTGTTTCAGGTTCCATTATGAACTCTTCAATATTCTTTATTTCTCAGATGTGATTTTTGTTACTCCTTTAGCTTGCTTGAGTCTTCTTGATTATACAGTATTTTTCTTAAATAAGATTGAACTGCGGCCTACTGTAGACCTGTTTATGCCATACTGTCCAGCAACATTAGGCATCTTCTGCCCACTCTCTACCTTTGCTATTACAGATATACCTCGCCTTACGCTGGTAATTGGTTCCAGGAGAGGCAACGTAAGTCGAATTTACTTGTCTGTGAATCTACTTGTCACTAGGCTAAACCATAAATTACCATTTCCGGTTATGTATTTTATTTATTAATTCATTTTTAATAATATATGGTTAATAAGGATCTATTTTAAGCTTACAAACAAATTTTAGTTTTTAATATAGTACAGAAAAAAGTACTCTAAATTTACGAATGCATGTACTGTAAATATAGTACATACTTGTAAATGTATATATTTTAATATGATTTTATGTGCTTTAAACGCTTTTCTAGTGATATTACGACTTCAATATTTGTGGCGGACGGACGTAAAGTCGAATAAAATGACTTAAACTTGATTTTTATTTTTCCGTATACTTTTTTGACAAACGACGTATAATCGGGAACGACGTAACTCGAAACGACGTANACTGGCAGCATATTGTGTTCAGCGACGAATCCTGCTTTTGTTTGGGGGCTCACGATGGCCGTGTGAGAGTATGGCAGCCCGCTGGTCAAGGTGTCAATCCGGCCTATACCGTGGAGCAGCACACGGGCCCAACCCCCAGTGTTATGGTGTGAAGAGCCATAACATACGACAGTAGGACACCTCTAGTTGTCATGCGTACTACCCTCACAGCCAAACGATATGTGCAATACATCCTCCAGCCACATGTGTTGCCCTCATGGCAGGGCTTCCGACAGGCATATTCCAGCAGGATAATGCCCGGCCACATACTGCAGCGGTCTCCCAAGCATGCCTACATAACGTTTCCACACTTCCTTGGCCTGCATGATCTCCAGATTTATCGTTAATCGAACATGTGTGGGACCACTTGGGTCGCCAGCTGCGACAGCCACAGGATCTGACTCATCTTGAGTCCCAATTGCATCATGCATGGACAGATATGCCTCAGAACATTATTCGCGACCTTTATGCCTCCATGCCGAGGCGTATCACAGCTTGTATCCGCGCTAGAGGTGGCCCAACAGGATATTAGTTCCTGCACTGTATTGAATATTACTGCACAATAAAGTATGTTTTTGTTTTATGGTTGCAATCATATATCTGTCTAGCAATGACGATGTCATATACCAATTTTTATTCAAATCCAACAAGTCCTTCATGGTGCGTTATTTTTTTTGTCGTCCAGTGTATTTTAATATGATTTTGTGCTTTAAACACTTTTCTAGTGATATTACGACTTCAATATTTGTGGCAGACAGATGTAAAGTTGAATAAAATGACTTAAACTTGATTTTTATTTTTCCATATACTTTTTTGACAAACGACGTAACTTGAAATGACGTAAGTCAAGGTATACCTGTATACTCTCACCTTTCGAAAAGAAAAACAGATGCGAAACTTAATGCGTGCTTACTTGACAGTCTTGCAAATACATAAAAGAATTGTTTTGTCAGAAAAATAAAAGGCTGGAATTACAAGGGAGAGTTTCAAAGTTCAGAGGAATACTAATCGATCGGTACATACCGGGTTGAGCGTCGATGTCAACGTCTCCCGCACTCTGAAAAGTTTCGAATTGTTGCCCAAAGACAAGGAAAGACCAATCAGTATTCATTATTTTATGTCGCTTCTTCTTGTTTGTTCTGTGGGGTGTTTGTTATCTGATCATGTGTTCGTTGTCCGAACATAAAAATCTTTCACGAAAGTGTTCATTATCTGATCTGTTCATTAACCGATCACCCACTGTACTTGTAATATTTTTGCAGATTATTTTTGTGTGTTCCATCTGATAACATGTTTGTTAGAAAATAACCATTATGTATTTATGGTAAAAAGTAAATAATTGAACTAATAATGATGTTTTATTATTTAAAGAGATATTTTCATTGAAAAATAAATAGTGTGGTTTATAATGCATGTTTTATTTGCATGGTTTTATATATATGTACAAAGAAGTGGAACTAGAATATAAACTATTAACAAATATATCTTAAAAACTTGTTTTTTCCTATAATAATCATGCTTGTTGAGCTGGAAAATTTCTGTACAAAAATAAATTAGGATTATTTTTTGAAACATCATTATATATGTAAGAAAAACTACTTAAAAAATTATTTAAAATATTTTATAAATTTAATTTAGAGCATATTCTAAAACATTAGCAAATATACTTGAGAGTGCATTTCACAACTTCAGTAAACAAACTTTACTGTTGATAATTTTTCTTGAAAGTATTATCAGTATTTTGTTTTGATAATATCAGTTGTTTATTTCAGTTGTTATAAGTCACATAAAATGAAAAAGGTTTTTTAATATCATTTCATATATTAAATATTAGACATTGAATCTTATCTATTTTATTAAAGAAAGGTTGTGAGACTTTATTTCAATGCTCCTTATCAATTCTTATTTATAATACAGTATTGTGTACTTGAAAATTCTTTCTGCAATGAATGTGCTTTGTTAAATGTTACATTTAAAGCATCATCAGATTTAGCATACTCTATACTGTATACAAAGTAACATTTGAACACTTCAAATAGTTTTGGCATGTCTATATGAATATCTTTCTTAAAAAATATTTTCACACCTCTGAAAAGCCTATTCACATAGATGTGTCAAAAATTTTTTGTTTCATTTAAAATTAATAAAAGTTTTTAAATAAGAGGCATAAAAAAGAAGTCAAATCAGACTAATTTACTTACATAATCATTGTATTGTATTGATTTTTGAATGTGAATTTTTTTCAAATGTAATTTACTTAATAATAATTATCATCTGCACATCGGATTTAACTAAATATCACGTACCTTAGAAAAAACCTTTAACCGATGCGAAATAAAAATTTAATAGTACAAACGTTTTCAGACCCCTCCTGGGTCCATCTTCAGGCAAAAATCGTTTGAAGATTTACGAAGTACGAAAAATATTCGTTTAGAACGATTTTTAAAACCGAAAAGATAGAACAGAATCACGTGATCTATATCTCTGAACGTCATATCTTCTACGTCATACCTTCTACATCATATTGACAGATATTTAAATATTTTCCATTGTTTTTAAAGATTTTATGAATAACTTTGTTGTTAAGACCACAAAACATATCACATAATTTTAGATAACCCATTTACTTCCTTTCTTTTAGGATTACAACGCACTTAAACCTCCTGTTGTAATAGGGCCTGCCATGCCAAAGAAAGAGAGATTTCATCTCTGGAATTGATCGGTGATGTAGTGTTGTATGCCTTGCATAATTCTATCTGCTCCAACCATTTGAGATGGTCTAAACATGAGGTGGTGGTGATTAATTTAGCATTTGAAAAGTTCGCAGTTATTTCTGAATCAGACGCGTAAGTTGATAAGGAAGTGGTACATTTATTTTGCTGAATGTCACGCATATGTTCTTTCAATCTGATCCCAATAGCTCGTTTTGTTGAGCCTATGTAAATTAAGTCCTTCCCAAAACAATGGTCTATAAGTGGCACTTTATATACCCCTGGCATTCTTTCTTCCTTAGATTTGTCTTTTCCATTGCGTAGAATACCAAATATGGTTGGGCATCTTCTGAAGGTTAGGGAGATACCCTTCTGCCGTGCGAATCTATTATGTATTGATTTCAACAGTGGGTTGTAAGTAACTGACACCCTCGGTTTATCCTCCTTTTGGTTAGCATCTATTGAATTAATTCTTTTAGAAGGAGACATCGTTTCTCCAAACCGTTGCGACATTTTTGTATGATGTTATGGTATCCATGCTGTTTGGCCACTTCGTATAGGTATTGTATTTCCTGTTCTAAGACCTCTTGAGTAGAAGAGTGTGAGTGTGCCCTTTTAACTAGAGCCCTGAACGCCGCCATCTTGTATTGGACAAGGTCACATGAGTCTGCCAGGATATAAGTTGGATTGTCTGATGGTTTGCGATACACGAAGGTGTGTATGATCAGTCCTCCAAAGTCAATATTCAAATCCAGAAAATGCACCGATGATTTGCTGTGCTGTTCGACCTCCAGGGTAAGACCATATGGATTGTCGTTCATTTGATCCACGAATTGGGTGATGTTCGGAGAGTCTCTCCAGAGAACAATGATGTCGTCAACGTATCGTTTGTAAATTATGATGTTTTGGAGGAAATTCGGAAGTATTTTTCTTTCTAATTCTCTGATTACTAGTTCACATAGATCCCCGGAGACAGAACTGCCCATGGGGACCCCTTTACCTTGCGTGTACGTAAGACCTCTGAATTGAAAGATCGAGCTGTAACAAATCAAGTGGGACAACTCTAAAACTTGTTGGTGGAATTCTTCATATGACAATATAATTAAGATTACCATTCATCAATATAATTTAGATTAGACTCTTGAATACTTATCACTATTCAAAAGGTTATCACGTAAGACAGAGTATTTTGAACTACTGAATCAGTGCTATAACATACAGTTCTTTGCTTTTTAGGAAATCAAAACCAGAAATTCTACTTATAAACGTAGTACTTTTGAGCTTTCTAGCCATTCCTTAAGGGTTCCAAAGTTAGAGATATAAGTTTGCCTTTTTCTGATTATATATAATAATAAATTACATATATGATATGTAATGAAAAAATAGCTTTAAAAAATCCACATTTCATGTGTTTAATAAACTGTTTTTTGACATCTAAAGAAATCTTAAAAGTAAATACTGTATACATATCAATTGAAACCCGATATCTTAAGCAAATACGCCTACAACTGCCTTAAATGATCAGGCTAAATTTTGGATAAATGATTATAGATTAGAAATGAATTTGGCACTAGAGTGAGGCATTAGGTGCCATCAGGTGATCTTCTCTGGCAACGCGTCTACACAGTAAGTGGGTGTTGCGAGTTTGAGTCCTGCTTCAGGCCAATTTCTTTTCTTCCAGTTTAATCTAAATTAATTAATTAAATATTATAATTATTAATTTTAATAAGAGATGGCACCTAATGCCTCACTCTAGTGCCAAATTTATTTCTAATCTATAAACATTTATCCAAAATTTAGCCCAATCATTTATGGCAGTTGTAGGTGAAATCTTAAAAGTCTGATTTTATAAGACTGTTCCATAACTTTCAAATGTAATGGATTTAAATAATAAATTAATACAGTTAAATGATTCATGTCAGGTATATTAACTATTATTACATAATTAAATTTCTGCTTCTACATTATAATAGATGAATAATTCATGTTTGTATTAAGTATATGTTAGCTGACCTATGGGCATATATATACTTTGGTGATACATATTAGATTAAATGTCCCAATAAAAATTATAGATAATTTTTTTTTCTGTGCAGTTATTTATAATTTTATTATATTATTTTTTATATCTGGACATTAAAAGTATAAAAAGAGTTTACAAGGATAAATATAAATGTCTATAGTAAAATAGCAATTAAATTACATTTCAGTATGTTTGCCAAACTTCGAAAAAAGATTGAAGAAGAAAACAATACAGAATTAGCAAGAACATTATCTCCAACTGTTACACCTCCAATTAGCAGATCAGGTAAGTTTCTTATTTTTAATTCCATTTAAAATAAAACATTATTCTTGATAAATTAGTGATAGTTAGGTGAAGCATATTATAGTTTCTTATTAAATTAATAAATTATAAACTTTTACTTTTTATTCCTAAGGTTGAATGAAAGCTAAAACAGTGGTTGTTCCTGATTTAATTCTGAATTAAAATTCAAAATTTTTTAAGAATATTTTTGCTTTGTTGTAGTTAATGTTTATTAATATTATGATTAGTCATTTGATTTTGTAAAATTTTTTCAAAATATTTTTTATTATTTATTTAAAACATCTTGAAATCATTATCATCAAATTGGGTTGTTCAGAAAGTAATTTTGTTTTTTTTACCATCAGAGGGATTAGTTGTATTTTTACCCACCAATTTCATTCTAAATTGTATTGTCACTATATATTTTGACAGCTGGCATTTCAAGGCTTATTTGTAAAAAATTTTGTTTGATTCTTTGCAATTGCTTTTTTTGATGTCTCATCAAATATGGTAAATCAAAAGCAGCATTTTCAACATATTTTGCAATTTTTATTACCAAAAAAGTAAGAATGCTGTTCAAGCAAGAAAAACTTGTGTGATGTGTACAGAGAAGATGTGTTAACAGAACGACAATGACAAAACTGGTTCACAAAATTTTGTTCCTGAAATTTTGATATTGAAGATGCACCATGTTTTGAAGGCTAGTTGAAGCTGATGAAGGCAAAATAAAGGTATTGATTAAAGCAAATTGCTGAATAACAACACAAGAAATTGCTAAGAGATTAAATTTGTTGAATTCAATTGTTTATGATCAGTTGAAACAACTGGGTTAGGTTCAAAGCTTGAGGTATGGGTTCACATGTTCTTAAAGAAGGGAGATTTGCTCTATTGCATTGACATTTGTGATTTGTTTCTTAAATGTCAAGAAAATGATCCATTTTTGAAGAGAATTGTAAATGGCAACAAAAAATAGATTGTTTATAATAATGTCGAATGCAAGCGATCATGGAGTAGAAAAGATTTTAAGCTTCTACCATACAATTCCACAATTGATTCAGAAGTATACTGCCATCAACTGGACAAATTGAGTGATACCATCAAACAGAAAAGGCCAGACTTGATCAATAGAAAAGGTGTAGTGTTTCACCATGATAATGCCAGAACTCACACAAGTTTGGTAACTCATCAGAAGTTGTTACAGCTTGGATGGGATGTGCTACCACACCTACCATATTTGCCAGATCTGGCACCTTTGGAGAATTACTTGTTCTGGTCTTTACAAAATTTTTTAAATGGTAAAACAGTTACTTCAAATGAGGATGTCAAAAATCACTTGGATCAGTTTTTTGTAAGCAAAGATCAGAACTTTTATGAGCATGGAATCATGCTACTACCAGAAAGATGGCAAAAGGTATTGGATCAAAATGGTCAATATATAATTCAATAAAATATTTATATATTATAAAAAAATTGTTTTTTTTAATGAAAAAAAAAGAAATTACAAAATGCTTTCTGAACAACCCAATAAGTTTATTATTTCAGTGGAAGCTGGTTAACTTGAAGTCACATTTACTTGAAATCATTTTCTCTCCTCAATTGTCCAGCATAAGAATTTACATGTTAAATCAAACTAGTTAACTCAAATGGGATTTTGATATAGTATTTTCATAGTATGTCTGGAATTTTAAGTTAAATAAAATAAATAATTTATCTATCTGAACCAGCTTTTTTTTTTTTTTAATTGCTAATGGATTTCTCTTACTAGCTGACATAAATAAATAAAGGGATTTTCAATAAATTAATTTAAAACAAAACAATTATAGTCCATTTCTATGTAACAATTTTAACCTTTGCAGCAAAATTTTAAAATTACAGCAATTGTAAAAAGTGGTTTTTTTGTGATAAAAAAGTTAAAAAACAGACCAGTGCTAGGTGCAAAATATCACAATTAAAAAAAATCCTTACGTTTAGGAGTGAATGGTAACTCATTGTTTCAGAAGCATTTCCCTCTGTCTTGATGGCTCTTCGTGTGGTCGGACAAGTGATCCCTACTCCTAAAACTACATAGTGTAAGGAAGCTGACCAAAAACAACTCTAGGCAGTTCAGAAGCATTTCTAGGCAGTAATTTATGAATTTGGTTGAGCATTTTTGAGTTTCCTGACAACACTGAGAGGTTTACATTGACACAACAATTCTATGTAATAAGATCACAAAAATATCATATGGATAGTTTATTATGGATCACCAATAAACCAATGCACAAAATCTTGATTTTTATATGCCAAAGCTTTTTAACTTGATCTGAATTTTTCCCAACTGATTTGAGTTAACTAAGTTCCATTTCATAATTAAATTTTAACATGGCTTCAATATAATTATTTTCAGTAATATACTTAAAAACTGATGATAATTTGTCAGAAAATCACAAAATGTCTTGTTTCTTATTTTTTTTAAATAGGAAATAAATAAAATTTACCAAAGTTTTTTTTATAAATAAATAAAATAGTTAAATTCAAATGCAATACTTTTATAATTCTATAGTTAGGCAATTTAACTTTGTTTTGATTTGATGATATAAAATATCTGTGCTTTTTACTGTCATAAAAATTCATTTTAATTCATCAATATATTAGAATTTTAATTAATTTTATATATAAAGTTTTATGTTTATTGAAAGATGATTATAATATTTACTAGACACACTAAATTAATGAAATCTGTAATATGTCGTGATCAAAGACTTCTAACCAGAGTTTAACTGATATATCATTATAGGTTCTGTTAATTTATTAGTAAATATTATAGTTTTAGTTGTTTCAATTTTATTTGGTATTTTTTAATAAATAGGAAAAGTATTCATAATGTAAATTAATTTAACTACAAAGTTGCTAGTTCTTTTAAATCAATAGTGTGATATCTATATACAGTAGGAAATTTTTTTTAAGTAGTTGGTTTGATTTTTTTTGAAAAGTAAGTAAATAAAGTCTGTTGTTTGAGCTAGTAATTTGAGATGAAATCATTCTTGTTTTTTGAACTATAAACATTGCAATATTTATTGACTGATAAAAATTATTATATAATATTACATTAACTAGCTTTATATAATGTTCATTGATTTACAATTAAATAAATATTAATTATAATATTGAATATTTAAACAGTACATTTAATTTAAATTGTAAATAAACAAAATATATATAGTTTATATATATATATAAATCACACACAAAACTTTTTTAACCAGTAATTGAACATTAATGTAATTTCTGAACATTTGTGTTTAACAAAACTGACTGCTTTTGTAAAATACTATATTATTTTTCCAACTTTTCCAACGATTATCGACATGACTGTGCCGGAAATAGCCGTTCCCTAATGGGTACTTTACGCGGATTTGCGTTAGTGTGCCAGGCTTGGACTTTAAGCATGCACTGAATTAAATAATGACCAAGTTTGTCAATAACGAATCAAATATTTAATAAAAGTTCTAGTAATAAACTATATACAAAATTTAGTAAAATTCAAATAACAATTTATTAAATGAAAGTCAATAAGAATCAACCCGACAAAACTCAAATCAATCTGTTTTCTAACTTAATTCTATTCCCCTTTAGAATTCAACAAAATTTCAAAGACTTAATTTATATACAATAATCTTTATGAATTAAAGATCCTAATCGTTACCTCAATATACTAGGAACCCTTTTCCTCAACTCTCAAGACTTTCTCTAATTTTTGATCCACAAATCGAATAACTTCAAAAGTGCCTTGGAACTATTTTATCCTATTGGACACCTCTCTTTCGTTTGCTGCTACGAAGCTCACCAAGCTCGTTGATAACAGAAGCTCACCTCGTCCATCTTCACTTGAGATTCGGACTTTATACTGTGCAGTGATGTCACAACTCTGAATGTGATCACTCCCCTCATTTACATACTTATTTGCTAACAATAAACTTTTTCTATTTGTCTGGCAGCCTGTTTTCCGACAATACTCACTAACCTTTTACATTATTCTTTTTGACAATTTTCAGGATGTTTTTATTCTTTAAGGTTTAGCGAGTCCCTAAGTTGTGCTTGTGGGGTCTCCCCCTTTTTCTCTTACTTTTTTCTGCTCGGGAGCGCAAGGGTGCGCGAGTTTTTTCTACGGCGCTTTTCTCTTGTTGGTGAGTTGGTTTCTCTTCTATTTTTAAGTTTCTAAGGTGAATGGTGAGGAAACCTTCATCCTAATAAAACATAAGCCCCAAACAAAAATAGAATAAAAGTAAATAAAAATAATGCTCGGACTTGGTTCCTTACACTTTTACAGGCTGTTATGCAACACAAAAGATAAAATGGATCAAAGCAGAGCCCCAGGAGTGTACTCTATTCCTCTTAAGGATGATAGATTCCAAAGGGACTTAATATATACAGTAATACTCTGAACTTACACAATGGGTGGGACCAAGTGATAACCGCGTAAGTTGGGGTATAATTTCTCAATTTGTGTAAAATTCAAGTCAGATGTATGTAAGCTAATAAATGTTCTCGTTAATCTTATCTTGTCTTTTGATTTGTTCACGGTTACAAGAAATCACCACATAGAGTCTCTCAAGTCTCCGTAGATATAACAAACACAGAAATAAATAGCACAAAATAAATTGTAGCTCTGTGTCGATCCGCATGACACGTCCAAACATGTAAGCTGAACAATAGTGTGGGGGGAGTGAGTAATCAAGTGTTATGTCGCACTCAAACAAAAGACGAATCGACGAGATTTGACAATCACGTAACTCCAGGTTTGCGTAAGTCAGGGTAGCATAAGTTGAGGTATTACTGTATTGTCTTAACCATATATTGAATACATAAAAGGGTATGTGAACATCAATATGACCTTGCGAACAACAGCCATACCACCGCCCTGTCCACATACGTCACAATTATGGAAGTACATATGGACCTCCAGAACACCAGATTAATTATGCAGTCCTTTCAAACAGACCATATCCATAGCCTGGAGGCTTGGGAAATTTATAAAGGCCGCGTTTCTTTATGCATCGCTCGAGAAGCGCTTTACAGCGAACTCTCTGAAACCCGTTTCTAAATGCAGCGCTGCAATGTAGCGAACCGTTTCTAAACGTTTGCTGCAAGAGGTCGCTGCAGCGAAGATAAAGCAGCTTTTACGTCCGCTACACGTGTAAAGCAAAATGGACGCTTGTGTGTATAATACGATATTATGCTGTAAAAATAAAAAAGTCGAAGTGACTGTTGATAAAAATATTATGGAAAGATTAAGAAGGATTAAATTTTATGAAATGACTCTGAAAGTTATCTAAAGAATAAGAAAATACTATATTTTAAATATAATTATATATCTTTTATCTCTTTACTTTGTTCACATTTATGGAAAGATAAATGCTCGATTCTTTATATCTCTTTATTTAAATATTGTAGTTCTTTAACTAAAGCACTATTTTCGGCTGTAACTGGAATTAAAGGATAGATTATGACGTCCGTGTTTCGCTCGAGCGGAAAGCGTTTCTAAACTATGATGCAGCGACGTGTAGCGATAGCTGCTTGTGACGTCATTTACGCTGCACTCTCGCTGCATAAAGAAACGCAGCCCAAGCCAACTTGAAAAGGCAACTCTATTAACTTTAAAAACTGCGAGTTGGTGATGCATGCACGGAAGTACCTGTGTGAGAAATTCGAACAAAGTCAATCACCCACATGAATTTGATATATTTAAAGTTTAAAGTTGAATATCATTGTTCTAGCATTCCAATTTTTGGAAGGCAGTTTTGTTAAACACCTGAGGCAGGCCTTGGTGAAGGCTGAAAATGTTTGGAAATTACGTTAAAGGTTAAAGTTCAATTACTGGTGTACATTTAATTTAAATTGTAAATAAACAAAATATATATAGTTTATATATATATATAAATCACACACAAAACTTTTTTAACCAGTAATTGAACATTAATGTAATTTCTGAACATTTGTGTTTAACAAAACTGACTGCTTTTGTAAAATACTATATTATTTTTCCAACTTTTCCAACGATTATCGACATGACTGTGCCGGAAATAGCCGTTCCCTAATGGGTACTTTACGCGGATTTGCGTTAGTGTGCCAGGCTTGGACTTTAAGCATGCACTGAATTAAATAATGACCAAGTTTGTCAATAACGAATCAAATATTTAATAAAAGTTCTAGTAATAAACTATATACAAAATTTAGTAAAATTCAAATAACAATTTATTAAATGAAAGTCAATAAGAATCAACCCGACAAAACTCAAATCAATCTGTTTTCTAACTTAATTCTATTCCCCTTTAGAATTCAACAAAATTTCAAAGACTTAATTTATATACAATAATCTTTATGAATTAAAGATCCTAATCGTTACCTCAATATACTAGGAACCCTTTTCCTCAACTCTCAAGACTTTCTCTAATTTTTGATCCACAAATCGAATAACTTCAAAAGTGCCTTGGAACTATTTTATCCTATTGGACACCTCTCTTTCGTTTGCTGCTACGAAGCTCACCAAGCTCGTTGATAACAGAAGCTCACCTCGTCCATCTTCACTTGAGATTCGGACTTTATACTGTGCAGTGATGTCACAACTCTGAATGTGATCACTCCCCTNCTGCAAGCTCCGGTAGCCTCTCCTGAATCTGAATCCGATTAAAAAACAATAAAAAAAAAAGACCCGCTGCAATGTGTAAAAAGTCTGTATCTGTATGAATGTGTGAAGAAAGTGTTCCTCCACCTCACAACATCTGACTACCCTGCATAATTGGTGACTGCTCCATTTTCATTTTTTTTTTTTATGGTACAGTACGGTTATTTTATGCTGCGGAACAAATTATATGTTTTAACATGTATTTCTATGGGAAAATGCGTTTCTTATAACGGACTATTCACTTAACGGACGTGCACCTGGAACGGATTAAGTACGTTATGAGGCACCACTGTATATATATATTTATTTATTTTAATTATTGTTTTAGGAATGCTGTCTTGTAGAGCATAATTTCTTGTTTAATATACAGTCAAATTTAGTTTCAATATGTCACCATTGTTAAAGTATCAGAGTGCTTGTGAACAGATCTTCCCTATAAGTAGTAAATAGAGATCTTTTTAGTATATGAAAATTACAAAACATATAATTTTGCATTGCATTACTGCAACATTATCATCAAATCATACAAATTACTAACTCAAATTTGTGTGTAGACCTTATTATGATATAAAATTGGTGTTGAGATACTTCAGTTTAGTAATACACTCATCTTAGTGCCAGTTTTAGAGGCAAATGAATATTGATACTGAATATCTGTTATGATTAAGAATAAAAATAATTTTTACTTTATTCTATAATTAATTAATAAGAAATTCAGACATAATATTATGGTTATTGCAAAAAATAATTTTTATTGCACTAGGTTTTATTTTCATTGTCATAATAAGTTAGAAAGTATGAATAAGCTTATTTTTTTTAAGTATGAAAGATTGTAATATATTTAAGAATTCTTATTTTAATATATTGCATTAAGATTGAAAATAATTCATATACTTTTTTTCTCAGGTTCTGAAAGCAGCCCAAAAAGTTCTACAACTCAGTTATTTTCAGAAAAAGAGAAGTTTCTAAAAAATGTTAATGTTGCAGCTTCAAGGAATGGACCAAGAAGGTCACTTGGTGGTAGTGTTGGAGATTTAATAGGAGTTTCCATGAGGAAAGATGAATTTGTCAGTGATGGAAATGTATTATATTTGGTCATATTATTACATAATAATTCATACTTTAGACATTTATATATAAAAATTGAATTAAAATTTTTTTTAAGGAAAGTGATAGAGGTGATGAGAAATTGCAATCAAAACGAAAAACTCAAACTCACTTTTTACAGGCAAAAATTGTTGGTAAGTGAGAGATAAAATAATTAATTCAGATAAATAGCTCAATAATTCTAATTTTTTTCTTCAAAAATATTAAAATATACATATTATTTTTTTTACAAATAATTAATTTAGTAAATATGAAAAAACTGTCAAAACAGTTTAAAAGCTAGATTTTAAAAAACTAAGTGAGAATATAATGTTATATACATTGAATTATATTAATCCTAAAAGTATTATTTACAATAGTCATTTAAAGTAAAAATAGTTGCAAATTATTTATTTTAATTTGTAATTTAAGTTGTTTAATGTTGTTTATTTCATTTTTCAGATAGTTTAATCATTCATTATTTTTATTTGTAATGAGGATAATATATTACAGTATATACAATATATAGTACACTATCAAATTAAATTTAATTTAAAAATTTACTCTGAATTAAATTTGCTATCTGAAATGTTTATAGATTATCTATTATTGGTTCTTTGGCAGATTATAAATAAAAATTAAGAATGCAATAAATATTTATTATTTAATTCATTCTATCAAATACTCAAATATTAATTTAATTTGAAGCATTTCAAATGCTGAATAATTGTTTTTTATGTATATAATTATAAAATTATTTATTGTAAGAACATCTAAAATAGTTGATTTTTGGTTTAGAGGCTAACTTCCTTCTATAATCACTTTCTTTCATTCTTCATAAAATATTTTGGATGCAGATGAAACAGACTTGTTTTGCACTCTCCTAGATAAAACATTGTGTTTCAAGGATGAATCAAGACAAAGTAATTAACATCTAAGATACATTTAGCAGCATTGCTTTGAAAAAGCTTTTGAAAAATTAGAAAATTTTAGGTTTGTTATAATTTTTCAGAAAAATATTTTTCAAGTATTATCAATAAAACTGTTTCAAGTAATTTTCTGTTTCAAAATTTAACTTTTTCAATCAACATTAACATGTAATGATCAATTAACATATATTTCATTAACATTCATTTCAATTTGAATCATATTAACATGTAAAGAATAAATAAGTACAAAATAATGTTATTCTAATTTCAACAAAAAATTTAAATTACATTTAGGAACAATTCAAATCTTTGTTCAACATCATAATAGTTTTCAATACTTACAGAGGTTTTAAAATCATCAAAAAATGGCATGTCCGTATTGACTAATACTCTTTTAATTAGACTTGTGGTTTAAAAATTTTCTCAAAGTTTAACTTGGAAATATAACTGTAATTCTATGATTTATGATTATAACATTTTGTTGATGGTAATTATTATTTTATTTTTGACTTCTAACTGAATTGCAGTTCATGATTCATAAATCAAAACATTTTGAAAATGTTTTTAAACTAAAAATTTCAGATGTTTTATTTGTTTATAAATTTTAATTAATAAAAAAACAAAGTTACTTTTTATCAGTAAAAATATTATAAATAAAATAAAATAAGTAGCATAAACATAATTTTGAATTTTTAAAGAACCAATATATTATTGAATTATCAAAAAATGCAGACAAAAAATGCATATTAACTTTCCATTGGATGCATTTGATCAATTTGATATGCCACACATATTTTGAATTGTCATTTCTTAACAAAATTGTACAGTCATGACTACTTTTCAGTAGTTTCATTTTTCACATTCCTGATGATGATTTTCATTCTTTAAATTTGAAAACATTCAAGATACATGACAATTTTTTTATTATTATTTTGATATATTGTGCCTCTTTCTACTATACAGTAGAGCCTCGATTATCCGACCCCCGATTAACCGACCGTCCTAGTCGGCAAATTTCAAATGTCCACTAGTGATGTGGCGCTACAATATTTGGCTATGTCTTGGCTACTTTAATATTATTTTTACGTGTTTGAGCTGGCAACACTGGATCGACCATGAAAGGGAGCCAGTGTTTAAACGAGGCTTAATTTTCTAATTTTTAACAATACAATAGCGACGATTATTATTTTAAAAAATTTTTGTTAGGCTTAACATCGATGAAAATTCAACGCAAAGTAGGTTAATAGCGATATACTGATATACTAATTACATGGGATATAATAATATACTACACTAATAATGGACTTTTTCATACTTTTCGGTTATCCGACTTTTCAATTATTCGACCAACCCCAGTCTCCAATTGAGTCGGATAATCAAGGCTCTACTGTATACTGAAAATTTAAAATGTCATCTGGTTTTTTTGGTAAGTACAGTGAATTCAAAAAATAGTACTTAAATTAATCATTTTTTAGCATTAAAATCCTGTGAAATCAATTACTGTATATCAGTTAGAAATTAGAATCATATTATATGGAATACAAGTCAATAGCAATTGAAGAAATAGATAACACTGTGAATGCGAATGTAAAAAAGAAAAGGATATAATTACTGCATTGTATCACTAAATAACAAGTTATTAACAAAATATGAATACAAAAAATGTGAAAAGGCAATTTGTTTATTATGCGTAGAAGTCTTGTACAATATGTATAAATTTAATGATGCATAATAAATGGTTAGTAAACACAGAAAAATCTTTGCATAATATGAAAAATAGAGAGAAATTATTTTTGTACTTGTAGTTTTTATTTTTCCATGAAAAAGTTTTTTGAGTTTGACAAAGATTAATTTGTTAATTTATATTTTGTTATTAGTTTCTTATTAATGATGATGATGATTTAAAACAAGAGAATACATCAGAAATAATATTTTTAATATCCTGTGAAAACTCATAAAATATTTGCTTAATAAAACTTAGTGGTTATTTTGATACATTGCTCCACCATCTTTATGGTGTTATATTGCTCCCTAATGGAAGGTTGAAAAACAGAAAAGTTTAGTAAATGCATTAGAATACAAATACTATTTACTAGAATCTAATGCATGCTCTTTTTAAATTTTGTCTCCAGAATTTTAGTGCACTAGATTTGAGTGAAAACATGAAAATTACTTGAATCATTTACTTATTCCACTTTTTTGCCATGTGCTGTTGCTTCTGTAGCCTTTCCAACCTGTTTTTCTCTTCTTGTGCTTGATATTTTCTATCTTCCCTTTAGATTTCTTATTATATCCTAGCCTTTGTATGCCTTTGTCCTAATCAGTACTGTTCTTGTAGGATCACATATGTTACAGATATGTTTGTTGCAGGTATGCATTTTATTTTGTCAGCAAACAGGGTTTTTTGTCTGTGTTTTGGAGATCAGGGTGTGCATTAAGTTTGAGTAAATGTGATATTTAACTATTATTTTGTTTTATTTCTTTATAACATAAGTTTCTGACAATTCATACCAAATTAATTACTTTTAGTAATTAAAAATACTGTTAATTCTTCCTTAGATTTAAATCAGAAAATTAAAGAACAGAATGAGCATTTTCAAAGTCAGCATGAACAGCAACAACTTGTTCTTAGTAAGAAAGAGCAAGAATGGAAAGATACATTTATTAAACTTGAAAAGGTGAATTTTAAATGAATTTCAATTATAATAATAAAAGTAAGTCATTCTGATGATTAAAATAAATATTATTAAAACATCAAGTAGATTTATTTTCAATTTTTAGGAAAAAGGGGATCTTAAAGCTCAACTACAAGAAGTACAAAAAAGAATGGAAAAAATAATTGAAAGTCAGGAGAATAAAGATGAATTAGAAAGTTTTCAAAGTCAGGAAATGTCAAAAATTAAACATTTGGTATGCTTGGTTATAAGTTAATTTTTTAATTTTAATTAAAACACCCATTTATACATATATACATATTTTAATTATTGGGTTATGGTATTAAATAAACCTTGTAGTTTTTAGAAAAATTCTAACATTTATTTGTTAAATTATAATTAAACAATATTATTTCTAATCAAGTTAGGATTATTAAGAAATCTCCAAATTAATCTATCATCATTAAATATTTTAAATTCTGTTTTGCAACCACAAGTAGATGTTTTTTATTGAGACTTACACACTTGGATTTTGTTTGAATTATGATTTATACTGCATTTTTTTGTGTTTAATTAGAATAAACTTGAAAATATTTACATTTTACATAGTCCTGTTTACAGTAGTAGTAATTATTTTTTCCTTCATAATTTTGTAAGTGGATTATCATTAAAATGCTTTTTTTTTTTAATCTAATATTGATTTTCCATTTATGAAGTTTTAGGCTTGTTATATGATGTACTAATACCATATTTTTTTAGATGTCATACTTTGTAGTTGATGTTGACAGCTACAAAATATGTCATGTATATCAAAAATATACCAAATTAAATTTTATTAATAATTTTTGATGTGAAATTTGTAAAACATAAATTAGCTTTTTCCAGTACTTTATCTTCATGCATATAATTTATGGATTATCACATTTTAAACACATGTGTGTTTAAAAGACAATTTGAAAAAGGATGCAGATTATATGGCAGGGAGATATATAAACTGATTTAAAATTGAGATTATGAATTTGCCTATAGAGTAACAACTGCTCTAAAGAGGATGGGTATATGATGGTGCAGATTATGCAAGTTTTGTTTTTATTCTAGCGATTTTCTGTGGATTATACATTATCATAGATGATATTCATGAAAATACAACAATGCCTATTATGATGATTTAAAAAACTGCAGAGTTGAAAATTATTAGTTATGTAAAAACATAATACCATAAGTAATGTATTGCTTATATTCAACAAAAGATTTTACTAAATTGAAAATAAAAATTGTAATATATATGCACTAAAAAAAATTGATCATTCTTATCAAATTTTAGCAGTGATATTGTAGATAATGTAACTAGCTATTCTAATATTTAAAAATCAAAAGAAGTAATAAAATAAGTACAGTAGAGCCTCGATTATCCGACCCCCGATTAACTGACCATCCTAGTCGGCAAATTTCAAATGTCTGCTAGTGATGTGGCGCTACAATATTTGCCTATGTCTTGGCTACTTTAATATTATTTTTATGTGTTTTAGCTGGCAACACTCATTCGACTATGAAAGGGAGCCAGTATTTAAACGAGGCTTAATTTTCAAATTTTTAACGATACAATAGTGACGATTATTATTTTAAAAAATTTTTGTTAGGCTTAACATTGATGAAAATTCAATGCGAAGTAGGTTAATAGCAATATACTAATTACATGGGATATAATAATATACTACACTAATAATGGATTTTTTCATACTTTTCGGTTATCCGACTTTTCAATTATTCGACCAACCCCAGTCCCCAATTGAGTCGGATAATCGAGGCTCTACTGTAATTTTATTAACCTCTTGAACCATAATATATGACATATTACATGTGCTAATATTGTTAAGATTACTATGGTAATTAATGAACAGTTTAATAAGTTTAAAATGAAATTGAAAGATAATTAGTAATGTATATTAAATGAAACAAATCAACATTAATTTATCCATTGATTTTTTATTTATATATAATGTTATGGCTAAAATCCATGAATCAGATAAACTAGCTAATGCCAATTTCATTCAAGTCTTTTGGCTAAAGCAAGGAACAATCTATTAATTTTGAACTTTATCCAACTCACAAGTGGATAAAACTGACATTATCCAAAAACAAGTGGACAAAGCACAAACAAAACTTAAAATTTGGGCTCTTTCTGGATAATATGGATTCTCTCTACCATTGTTTGTATGGAGTTGAATACAGATGTTGCATTTTAAAGGGTGTAAGCATTTTGCTTTTAGTCACAATGTGGATAGTAGAAACAGATAATGTTACTAGTTTTCTCTCTTCGGATTTCAAGCCAATTGGCAATATGTCAACAATTTTTTCAATCATGATTTTTTCTGCTTATAATAAACTTCTTTAATAAATACTTGTCAACTCCAGGATTACATTATATTATAAAATAAATTGTTAAAGACAAGCACAAAAATAAGTATCAAAAGTTTTTTGAACACACACAGCATTGTATAAAAGCATACTGAGACACTGTCTTTATTTCAGGCTAAGTGGTACAAAAAAAAATACAAAAAATGCAAAAATGTTTAAAGCTTTACCAGAAAATTTATCAACTCTGTTTATTTACATTATTAATATAAAAAGCTCTTACTATAAAATTGAACTTTCTCATTACACATGTAAAGATTTTACATACATGCAGACATTTCTAACAAATGATAAACATATGTAAATTGTAAAATCCTAATTCCATAAAACTGTAAAGAAAAATTTTCAGGGCATTTATATAAGTAATTTAAAGCAGTGAAATGACATCCTGTAAGTGGCTTTAAACTTGAAATATTCATAAAAACAAAATAGTCTTGTTTTACTTTATTTGTTTCACTCAGTTTATATTTCAATGGTAAATTAAATTGTTTTGCCATATTATTTTCACTATTATTTATTTATTCATTTTTTAAACATTATAATTTATTTTATTAGTCAAGTATAGCTGAATTTTTTTCTTATAGTAAATACTTAGTCATTTATTTTTCATGTGTAAATGAATTTATATTAGAGAAATTTAAGTGCTAATGCTGTTCATCATAAATTCATTCATGAAGAAAATTGTTTGAGGAACTTCTAAGTATTTTAGATTAAAAATAAAATAAAATAAATTTTTAATTCCTGTATTTATTGAAATTAATATTTTCAAAATGATGAATTTTATAGCTTTTAAAAAGTCAGCAAGAACTAAGAGGTTGTGAAGAGACACTGAAGTCAAAAGAGGAAGAATTGGAAAATTCTAATAAAAAAATCTGTCAATTGGAAATTTCCAATAAATCTCTTGAGCAGCAATTAGAAAAAGCAAAAGCTGACCTGGGTCAAATATATAATTTACAAGCAGAAAAGGGACAGTTAGAAGATGAAGTAGATCATTTAAAACAGGAATCTTTGAAGGTAGTTCTAATGTTAAATTTATTATTAAAATATATTTGTTATTAATTTTATAAATAATGCTGAAAAAATACAATATTCAAATGAATGAATATAATATAAATAGAAATAATTTTGGATGATGAAAAATTATATTATCAGTATATATAATTGTTTAATTAATTTTAATGTAAAATATATACTGTATTTAAATTGCTTTCACATAGAAGATTATACAGTATAAGTTTATTAATTCAGTACTCTGTAATCCAGAATGTCTGATAATTTGCTACCTTCTGAAAGGTACTGGAATATCTTTCAAAGGGTCTAATTACTTTTCAGAGAGTGCCAAATGAAACAATTCCATTATCCAAAGAATAGTTGGGAGGACCACAAATTTCTATGCAGTGTAGTTTTAAACTATATAGCAGGGGTGGCCAACACGAGGCCCGCGGGCCGCATGCGGCCCGCCGGTAGTCAAGTTGCGGCCCTCGGAGCTAGGTCAAATGAACGTAAATGTTAACTTTATTGTACATATCACTAAAAGAACATTACGTCATGAGTTATTCGTATCATGTATTTTTAAATTACAGCTAAGAGAAATTTGAAATATCTCTCATTTTTGGAAAAATTCATAGATTTTTAGCTATTTCAAACATCCCGCTATTTGACGCTCAGGGTTACTTAGTTTTTTGTCCGACGCTACTAGGTGTTGATAAAATTTAATATGAGACTTCAACTTTAGCTGTATATGTTCTGTGGGCTTCGGCGTTTTCGGGAAGCTCGCAATGCTATCGGCCTCATACTCATAACTACTTTCACTCCAGCTTGACAAAGTTCTGTGTTATTCTGTAGTATCGTTTTATTATCGTCAATGCATCTGGAGAGATTTTGCAATCGACAGCACTCAAAGTCAGATGTCTCACTTTTAAATATTTTTAAATTGTCTAATAAATATGTTTTATTCTCGGCTATGTTTTATTTTCTTCAAAAAAATAAATATACCTATTTTTTGTGTTTTTTACATTAAACTAGGCAAGTGTTTGACCACGGTCTCACCTACCGGAAAGCGACCATGTGGTTGAAGCTGTAGCACGCTTTCTTTACTTTAAAAAAAAAAAATAGGTGCGTGGCCCGGCAAGAAATATTATTTCTGAAATTTGGCCCGCCTTCTGAAAAGGTTGGCCACCCCTGCTATATAGTATACATTGTATTGTGATGAACAAACATTGCTTCATTAGAACTAGAATACATTTTGTGTTCAGTAATGTTTATAACTGATGTATTTCCTTACATATGGACCAATGTTAGGATAGTGTACCTGAAAACAGGTTTCATATGCTTAAAACATGTATTTTTTGTGAATCATATATATACAGTACAGATTGAAAAATAGCTATTGTATGCAAATGATTATTGTGAATGTTTATTTTGTGCAATAACATGTTTACTGTTTTGAGGGATTTTCAGTCAAGTTTAATCATTTGCTGTGTCATACTTCAGACTGATTAAAGAGCATATCTCAACAAATGCACTAATGCAGAATTTACAGAAATGTCTGCAATGAGCAAATCACATATAACTTAATGAATTTTGCAAAAAATACAGAAATGTTCAGTAATCTGTCNGTGGTCTTCCTCGTCCCCTTTTTTGCATACCTGCTTGACTTGGTAATGGAGGAGATCGAGGAAAAGGTCCGGGATTTAACTCAATACCAGCAATCATTAGTAGAATTAGAATTATTATTCGAGTTAATAAAACATTTAAACTACATATTTCAGTTCTAAACTTATTATTTTGTTGTAAAAATTCCATGTCTAACGTTGCCACAACAGCTCAGCAAAAAAATCACCAACACCTCCGCAGGCTAGACACGCCCCCCGTAATCTGTCATTTTGTATAATCCAGCAAAACTTTGGTCTTATATGTTCTGGATTAATTAACTTTTACTGTATTAAAAACTCAACTCTATAAATAAGTAAAATAAATTTATTAAATTCAGTAATATTTATTAAATAATTAATAATTTGTTTATGCTAAAGTTAACTTTTTATTTATTTATTTTGACATCCTTTTCCCCAATTATTTAAGAAAATACAGCATAATTTTTTCCAGTAATTATTTCTAAGATTTTAATTGTTTTTGCATTTATTTTATTCAATTATTGGTGTATGGATTTAGTCACTTGCCTAATTGAAATGCAATATCTTCTTTTTATTTTGAAAAAATATTTTTTATTATTACCATACATGCATATATATAAATTTTCCATTACACTTTTTTATTTTAAAATAAAATTTTTACATTTTTTTAACTTAATTTTTGATTTGATAATTGAACTCTGCTTGAACTTACTTGATGTTTGAATGATAATATATCACTTTATCAATGAATGAATTGTGTGAGAATACTTTTCTATTTTTGTTTTTATGTTTTAAATACAAATAAAAGCATTCTATGCATATTTCAAAATATACTTTATTATTTTGTTTTAAATTATTCATTGTTTTTTTTGTTAGCAGTCTAATAATACTTTTATTTATTTTGTACATACTGTATTAATAATGATAAATCATGTTTTATTTAATCACCAATTTTTTTTTGTAATCATATACACAGGATTTGAGAAATTTAATTTGTTTTTTATTTGAGGTCCAATGTTATGTTTTAATTAAAATTAACAGTAATGTATTATTTTTCTTTATTAATAGTTTGTAAATATTCTAAGGAACACTTGGAACATCATTTTGTAAAACATATTTAAATATGCATATCTTAGTGAATATTATTTGAAGTCTAATGAATTGTCTTCAAGATAGATCTTCAATGATCAAAAGTCTATGGTCTTTGTAAAGACATTTTGGTATGAATAAAGCAAATTTTAGTTTATAATTGTGTTAAGTAACAAAATAAGGTTACTTTTTACAATTCTAAAACCCCTCTTATATCACATGACACTTCCAGTCTAGTCAGTGGTGATATTCGAAATATTTAACAAAGGGTTCTGTAACAGAAAATTTTTCCTTAACAATTTTTTTTTTTCACTCAAATGGTGCATTAGCAACATTAGCGCAAAAACAGACCTTAAGATACCCATATAAATAAAAAAGATGTGTTTGCAAAATTAAGTCAGTTAAAATTTAACATTGTTTATGCCAGAACTACATTTTTTTTATAAATAATAAAAAAGAGTGTTCAAAATGGTTTATTTTGTACATATTTTAATATTTTTCATTCAAAATATTTTATAAACATAAAAATTGGCTTTTTTTTAATCAGAAAAAGTCATACGGAAAGCAGTTAAACAAGAAAAACTTTTCTAAATCATTTATTTTATCGTTAGGTATTATTATAATAATAGACAGATGTCATCGTCTCTCGAAATACAATATCTTTTTTATTTCGCTGTTGATAACCCGACACGTGTTCCACAGCCATCTTGTATTTTCTCGCGCGCGTGGGATTGTGGGATCTCTCTTATGACTGGATCTATAGTTTCGAGCACTCTCTCAAGTCGATCGTGATTGAACCTCGTTTTAGTCGAGATTGAGACGGTCGATGGAGGTTGCACCAGGCAAACAGGGTATAAGGCTCTAGTTTAGTAGTGTTACAGAGTATAATACATATATCTTAATATATTTTTTAAAAGAAACAAAACCACTGAGAAATGTTACGTGTGTTTAACAACAGGTTCGGAAAACTTTGAAAATGTTAACAACGGGTTCGGCTGAACCTGTGCGAACCCGTTGAATATCACCACTGAGTCTAGTACAAGACCTAGGTAAAAAGAAGGTAATGCATGTGAATGAAATTGCCCTCTGTGCTTTCTCACCTAGGATTTAGGATGTAGGCATGTGCTCTAGATCACATGCCTATATCCTAACCATACATAAATACATTTTTTTAAAACAAACAACCACACCTAATCTAACATAAACACTTAAACTATGAATAAGTAAAAAAAGGCAAGTAAAAATAACATAAGTGATTTTAAAACAACAAAACATTTAAAATACTCTTGCTGTGTGACTCATGACTATTTGTATTGATAAATGGTCGTGAGTCATGCAGTAGATGTGCCTTCCTTAGGAACAACTTCTTCAGCCTTCCCCTTTTTGCCTTTTGGTGCTGCAGACACACTTTCAGGCTCATTCCAAATTGGTTCCTTTTCATAACTAGAGTACACATTTATTATATGCTGTCATATAGTGTGAAACTTTCACCTGGACTAATTTCAGATCATTTCAACAACAACTTGTACATAAAAGAATACAAATAGGAATCAAAAAGTTCTTAAATTTCTTTTGAGTCTGTGGTCATATTTAAAGGACCATAAAAAAACGCTCTATCCGTTGAGTATGAACTCCAGTTTCAGGATTAACAAAATGCTCATGTTTGACTGTTTTATGGCCAATGTCATGACCCTCTGAATCATCTGCATAAATATCCTTTTCACTCTTCTGTATAAACTATTTTCCTCCATTTTCTTTCTGTTATATATTATTGATTTCTTATAATAATATACATCATCATTGAGCTGTTTTTCTTGTTTGTTTTATTCACTATTAATGAAGCATTTAATGAATAGACTCGTATGATTTTCAAATTGTTACTATAAGAGTAGAAAAACCAGTTTCACTTACATATATTATAATTATATTTGCAAACAAAAGCCACCCAAACATATTTGATGTACCGATACTTGTGGTTAATACTCATTTTCTTTTTCTATTTCATTTCTGTTAAATATTCACTGTTGCTTTTAATTGAAATTAAACATGAAAAAATGAAAAATATACAAAATGAAAACTGGTATGTAAATAACAGTTGTTATTCTGTATTTGAAATTGAACTTGTTAGAGAAATAGTGTTTTTTAATCTTGCCAAGAGTCATGATGCTGTTATAAGCCGTGTTGTGTTGTATCACATTATAACATTTAGTTTTCAGTAGCTATGATTTGTGTATTTTTGTTTTTCCTGCAATATGTGAATAATTCAATAAACTTTTTAAATTTTTCACATTTTACATAAAGTTGTGCATACAAATGAAAGCTAATCATTAAAAACTCTGAATACATTTTGTAGTGATTATGTAATCTAATCTCTCCTTGTGATTGAAAATGAAATTAATCTAATTAAAATCATAAATAAAGAACATTAGTATAAATTTGACAATTTCTAAACAAAGATTCTTGCATATACAGTAAGACCCCGCTTAACACGGAGATGCGTTTCTAGATGACAAAGCGCTAAACGAAACAGCATTAAACAAGGTCATTTTAACATAGAGTAAATAGGGATAGGGGAACATGTGACCAAAAATTTAAAAATTTTACTTTAATTTTAAGTTATTTTTATGTTAATTTGTATAATAATATAATAATTAGTTCATTTTTTCCTGACTTTTCTGAAATTCTTGTTTTTTTGCAATAAAGTCGTAAAGTTTCATTTGTCACTTTTTTTCTTAGGCAAATGTTGGTAACAGAAGATTGCATCCAAAATGCCTCGTTTTGCTTTTGCACTCCTTTTAAAATCTAGATCATTCGCTAAAATTTGATCAACGATTTTGGTTATCATTACCAAACTTTTACTAAGGAAATCTGTACAGAAATTTTTTGGATTCTTCATTTTCAGAATTACTATTTTCCAGTTCTACATGGATTCCTTGTTCTGCCAGTTCTTGAAGGTCATTGTTGATAAGACTCTCACTAAAAACCTGCGGTAACTCCTCAATATCCTGTTTGTCTACATCTCCTAGTCCTGCTGTATCGATTAAGTTGAGTTTGATCAACCTAATAATACAGCAATAGGCTCTTCTCATTGAGAATTCTTTATTTTCAGCCATAACTTCTTCCACATTTCATTTGTGCATTTATCAGTTAATTCTTGCCAAGCGAAGCCAATATTGTTTATGGCATCCATGATGTTAAATTTTTTCTAAAATTGCACCAAACAAACATAGATTTAAAGAAAGTACACCTTTTTGCCACCTTTTTCTGATTGGTTTGTGTTCATAAATAATTGTATTATGTACAAATCAATAAAATGCTGTAATAATTTAAATCAGCATAAATTTTTTTTAAGGCTTTTGTAAGGTTACCGACGTTGAGGGGGAATAAAGTCTATCTCGCGTCAGAATGAGCCTAAGGGAAACCACGTATGTGGGCGGTGGCAAAGGAGGCAAATGATGTACAAGTATTTTACAAGATAAAACCCGTTTATTTGTTCGAATTCATGCTTACATTGATAATGGACAATTCCAAATCTCGGTGCTCCTGTGAATGGCGAAAGTTCGGGTGATCGGTCGCAGCCCGGGCGGACGAGAAGGATCACTGGACGATACAGATGTTCGTTGTTAAGCTGCGGCGTCCTGGGTGATCGGCAGTTGCACAACACAATCTAAATCACAACGGTAGGCTTAATCCAGAGGAGATTCTCTTTCGACCTTGAAGTTCTGATTTTTATAGTTTTTCCCCCACTGTTCGCATTTCGGATTGGTCCCTCGTTCCATTCCTCGCTTCCCGATTGGTCTCTCCTTTGTCTCCAGATGCAAGATGAAACTTTTTTGGGTCGCGGGAAAGGTCCGATTCGAGGTGTCCATCTGATACCTCTTTATCGACTCTGCTCAATGACTGTTTATAAAATAATAACACCTGCACTCATAACTCAGGCCATTATTTACCATTTTTTGACGTCTAAGAATTTAATGATCATTTTCATCTTTCATCTATAAAAAATTCATTTTTTTTGTTCGAAAGGTTTATCTCGGTCAACGTTTTATAGACACGCGGGTCAAAGATCTACCTGTTTATGAGCGCTCGTGTTAGAGTATGTCTTCCACTAAGACCTTGACAGATGGTTTGACACATACTCAAACCGTTCCAAGTCTCATTGTTTACATTCTGTGTCGCGCAAGAATTTCACGGTTTACTCGAGTTCGAACCTTGTCTGGGAACCCACACTTTGAGTAGACGGCATTATATAAAATCAGCGGTTAAGTGTGGTCTTACTGTACTTCATTTAGTTTGAGAGGTGATCATTTCCATATTATGGCTAGAAAATTAAGTTAACATAAAAATAAATATACAAACTACTAAAAATTATTACATGATTTTATCTAATCTTCCTTCATTTGATAGCAGCCTTTATCAAATTAAATTATTTATTTATTATTAGTAAATTTAACAAGAGATGGCAGCCTAACCATCTATCTCCTAACAAATTAACTTGAAATTATTTAGCCTTAATAGCCCATTCAAGGAATTTGGCTGTTTGTTTGATATTTGAAGTAACAACTTTGTCTATATATTATTGTATAAACATATTTTACAGAGAAATTTGTATGGTTTAAATTTAAATGCAAAAAATCCTCCACATATGCTGTGTCTTTCTGAAATCTATTTATTAAAAAAAAGGATTAACTTGAAACATTTAATCTACAAAAAAAAAAAAAAAGGTGTATGTAGGCAAAATGAATTCTGTTTAACAGTTACAGAAACTCTAAGAAAAATATAATTTGGTTGTAAAAAGCCATTAAATATTTGAATTTTATTTCATCAAGATATGATAAATAAATTTGGTAGTCCACGTTGTGTTTGAATTACAGTGGAGGATTCAGCTGCAGGCATATTAGACAATCTGTTTAATAAAAAGTAAGTCTTTAATAATTCTTTACGAACTTTTGTTAAAAGAGGAGAACAGCTGGTAACCAGACAAATAAGGCAAAATATACAACTTACAGAAGAACTTACAGATAATACAGTTTTGGAGGAAATCATTTTTAAATTTCACCAAATCATTTCCCCACAGATAGAAAGCTGTTTTATTATTTTATCAATATGTAAGTTGAAGATGAACTTTGGATCAAATATAAAATGTAAATCTTCATTGATTTAGTTTTATAATTATTGATGAAAAAGCGTGTATTTTGTTTAACTGGTCCAAATTTTATGACTGGTTTTTCTGATATTTATTGAGATTTATTTTCCTAAGTTATATATTAAGAATATTGATATTATTTTGCATGTTTTTAGGACAGTTATTCAATAATATGTCATTTGCATATGTTTAAATGTAAGATTTGAGAAAATAAAAAGTTATTATTTATATATAAGCTGTAAAGAAAAGAGTATTTAAAACCAATTCTTGAGGAATTCTGCAAATGGGAGCAAATGCTTGAAATGTTAAAGCTGATATTTTTATTTTAGATTTATGCATTAAATAGAAATTACTTAATCAATTTAGCAAGGTATATTTATATGAAAATTGATATTTAGAATTTTGATTAAGATAGATGGAATGATTGAATCAAATGTTTACTCAGTATCAATAAAAACAACATAAGTAAGTTTTTGGTTAAGTTTTAAATAGATTGTTTGACAGCAGAATGATGCAGAATTCCACAGTATTGGGCATAATTAAGTTTAGGAGAGATTAGAATGTATAAAATTTGATAAATGTATATTTCAAAAAATTTTTAGCATAAATGTATGATAGGTCTAGAAGAAGGCTTTTTCTTTGGGATAACTGAAATTTTTGGCACTGTTTAGAAATGTATAGATTTTCAAGACTTGCTAGAAAAGGGTTGAAAAAAATGGAAGCCGGGATAGGTTTAAGTTTTTTTTTTAAACATAGAGAATATTGAACTAGAACTGTAAGTGCTAAACACTAATCAAACTAGAGCTTGAAATATAGATTTGAGAGAAAAATACAAAAAGACAGGGAGAAAAGTGCATTGTTTGGAAATACAAGAAAAAAACCAATTCTTTGGTTTATAATTTTTGAGTTTGATAAATTCTTTACATTCTAAACATAATGATTAATTTTATTTTGAAAAGTAATTTTATTAATTATAATGGAAATGCATCATTTATAAAATAACATTACTAGTTTTTAAATGAACTATTTTTGATTTATATATACAGTAGAGCGTCGATTTTCCGAAAGTCAATCATCCGAAACGTCAATCATCCGAAAGAATTCCAGTCGGCAAATTTAAATTTTCGGCAATGCTGTGGCGCTTCAATCTTTGGCTATGTCTTGGGTTACTCAAATATTTTACGTTTTTGATACTAAATTAACATCTGAAGTATAATTTTTTATTATTTTTATATTTTTCAATATATTTATTTTGTTTGTACAAAATAAAAAAATAATTTTTAATGATACAATAGTCTTTGTTAGGCTTAACATCGATGAAAATTCAACACGAAGCGACACGCAACGGAGAAAAATTTTGACATTGGATACGTTAAACTATTTTTTCGTACGTAAATCAGTTATCCGAAATATCAGTTATCCGGACAACCCCAGTCCCCAATTGATTCGGAAAATCAACGCTCTACTGTATATACTTTTTTCCTAGAATATAAAAGAAAACCTACCTTATTTGTTGTTGTACAAACTGATTAAACATTTTTCAAGGCACTTTTCCTTACCCTCAGATTTTGTCTTATTAGGATGAGAGACAAAACATCTTCATTAAGCACATTGTTTCATCTAGGATGAGGCAAAAGTTTAATGAAGTTAGTGACTCCTTTAATAAATTATGTTTTTTATGAAGATAATTTTATTGGCGATAACTTGACAATAAGAGCTAGAAACATCCTATAATTAGAGTATAGTAATCATCAAAATATTTCACATTTAAGTTATTACCTGTTATCTCCAATATTTGTCATTTTGTAAAAAAGGCTATTTCTTTCTCTCTCTCTCTCTCTGTCTCTCTCTCTGTCTTTATTTCGTGAAATTTTGAAGTTTTGTTTTATTTTTAAATTTTTTTTAATGATGATAATTTTCAACAAGTTCTGTGAAATATTAAAATTTATAAAATATATAAAAATTAAAACAAAATTTTCCTGGTATCTGTTCATTTATAGACAGCTAATCGTACAACCCACTTGGAGAAGACTCTAAGTGATTTGACAGATGAAAATGATGCCCTCAAACACATGCATGAAGTCTACAAAAGCAAGGTAGTTTAATGGAGTTCTGAAAAAAATCCTTGCTAAAAATTGAATTCTCTGTGTTAGTGGACCTGCTTTGCTTCCCTGCACCACCCCCTTTTCACCCAAATAACATCAACTAGTTAATGTTGTCTTGATCTCGGTCTTTTCTAGTTTAAAATGTTTTTATAAATTGCTGAGAATTATAATTGAAGCAGACTTTGTTTGAGCATAACGTTTATAATTTGTGTAAACCAGCACTTTATTTATTTATTTATTTTTTTAATGAATGCATATTGTGTAATACTTTATTATTCTTTCTTTTATTAACCAAAATTGGGACTTTTTTAATAGTGGTTATTTTTTCTTTCTGCCAGAATTATCTTTTTTGTGTAGATTTTTCTTTGATGACAGCAAAAAAATCTCAAAAACATAGTTAAGATTTAGAGGTGTTGTTTATAAAACATGCAAAACGGTAAAATTTAAAACTTATATTTTAATTAAGTGAAATTATTACAGCTTGTTTCATGAATCTTGACCAAGCTATAAAAATGTGCAGTAGAAGGGACCTGTCTATTTACTTAGTGAAGAAAACAGACTATTTGAGGAATCTGAGGCCAATGTACAGAATTAATGATTTAATTAGATTATTATTTAAATTTTACATAAAAGATATAAACATTCAGCTCTATTTCTTGATTACATTTTTGAGAATTTTAAAATATTTGTAAACATGTATGAATATACAGGGTGATTCAAAAGTCATGTTACTCATATAAAACATTGTGTTTATATAATATATCTAATAACCATAAGCTGAATTTTTAGACTGTTGTTAGGCTATTGAGAGTCCAAAAGCTTAACTTGTAGATATTAACTATTAGAAAACTGGGCTTGTTTTTATTTGTATATGATACATTTATCAACATTTTATGACACAAATAAGAATGCACTTTCTCAAATATCATTTATTCTTGATTAGAATAAATATTCAAAATGATTTCTTCCTTCAACGATACAAACTTTGCACTTTATTTTGAATTTTCTGTGTACTGTAATATCACATGAACATTTTCAGCTTCAGTACTAATCTTCTATACTTCAAGGATGTGTATGGTCATTTTGTACATTTACAACTAGAAAAGTGTACAATACATCAATTAACACTTGTAGATATGTAAGTTTTGAATAACATAACTTCTGAATCACTCTACAGTTATGGTATTTTAGTGCAAGATTTTAATAAATAATTCTGTGACTTTATGGTATTAATCTTTCAGACGAGTAGTATATTTGAAGAAAAAGATAATTATATATCTCATTTGGAGGATCGTTTGGCTATGCTACAACAACGACTTAATGATAGCACATTAACTGGTGATGAAAAGGAAAAAGCTCTTATAAATGAAGTTAGGAAGGATTTATTTATTAAATTAATTAAAATAAAGTTGCTAAATACTGACTATAGTTAGTAAATATTATATATTGGTTATTTTAGAGGATAAGTATAGAAAAAAAACTGGAAGAATCTAGGCAACAACTAATTGAAATCAAGACAACTTGGAGTGAGAAAATTACTTCTTTAGAGAATCAGGTTCACACTAAAGCATTTTTAAACAATCTTTTTATTTTCAATTGATTGAAAAAATATTTTTTAATAAAAATGTTTACAGATTTATAATTTAAATAAGAAAATGGCAGATGATAGTCAGGAATGTTCTCGTCTAGAAGAAGAATTGGAAGAAACAAGATTATCACTCTCCAGGAAGGAAGAAGAACTATGGAAAATGGAAGATACTGTTCAAAAACAAAACAGAGATTTAACAAAAATGGTAAATAATAAATATTCATATGAACAAATATTTCAGATTATAATAATTCAGATATGATAGATAAATAGATAAATTCATTTTGAGTTGTTAATATTTATTGCTTTAATAAAAATACCTGTCTATTGCAACCACCCACAGTTCCTTTAAAAAGTGGTCTTTTAGACAGGTGGTGCTGTAATACCATATTTTCGTACGTATTTTGTGCACTTTTTAGCCATTTCTACCAAGCAAAACTCAAGGTGAATAAAAATAAGCAAATTTTCTCAACGATAGGGCTATACAGTCGACCCCCCTATAAGATCATAGATACGTTCCATTCTTTAGGAATTCGATTTCTTACGAGTCCTTCCAATCACAGCCCGACACATGTCAAGTTTACGGACTACGGCTGATTGAAAGGTTTTCTTCCATAAAATTAATCGATTCTATACTAATCCGACTCAACATTTCCAAAATACGTATATTTTTTTTTGGAAATAATCCGTATAAACTACGCTATAAACAAAAAATTGTAGGATTACTTACCGAGTGTGCACCATTTGACATCGCCATTGCTCAAG